GCAGTAACCAGCATTTTACAAAAGTGAAATGGAATAGACTAGAAACTGGAGTGCATCCCATGTAGCATGGGTATGATCTCATAAAACTTTCTTCAGTTCTATACATGTATACTGATTTGGATGAAGCAGCACTTTTAATTTTTGAAGAACTGGTAGGGTAGAATAAAGAAGCTACAAATTTTAAATGAAGTCAGAACTGTTTGGCTGACAAGAAAACACAGTGACAGCTTAATGTGGATTCCTGTTTGGAGAGAGACAGAGGAGAGAGGAAAGAGGGCCAAGGAAAGAACGTAGCAGGCCAGTTTCATAACTCCAGAATCCTCGAGGTGAAAGAAACAAAAAGTCCCACCCAGAGAGGAAATAGAAGGGGCATCTGCCACAGGGGAAATGTCAAGGAAGATAAGGTCATGTGCAACCTTCAGGAAACAATCACTGAAGCTGGAATATTCATTCACTCCTTTATTCATTCATTCACAGATCACTTATTGTACCATCATAGGTCCCAGGCACTGTGTTAGATGCTAGGGGTACAGATGTGAGGCCTATCATGGACAGTGTTGTTTAATGACAGCCAGAAGATCAATAATAATAATACAATCCTGCTGTGAAGATCAGTGCTGTGAAGGGATTATGAACACAGCACTGAGTGGGAATACTGAAGTTAGCCTGTGACGATGGCGTTAAGAGTGGGGTGACAGGGGAGATCCATATGGAGAGGGAATTTAATCAAGATGATGACCACATCTTTTTTTTTTTAATCTTTTTGAATTAGTGTTTTTATTTTCTTTGGATAACCACATTTTAACATGATGTTCTGTTTTGAAACTAATCAGTTGTGCTAGATGGTGTTTCTAGATACACAGTTTAAAGCAGAAGGAATTTAGCTGATCCACACAGACACAAAAAATTTTTCTTTATGACATTTTGATGGCTTAATAACAGGAACTGACACTTGAAATTTTTCATGTAACTTTGTTTATTGTAAAATTTTTTACTAAGATTTCATATTTAGCTTAGATATTTGATAGCCAGACAATTGTTTGTGTGGCAAAGACATGCTTGCTATGTTGCCAAAATTTTTTCCTTCTCTTCCTGGGCACAGACACAAAACCGCATTTTCTGACCCCTTTGCAGGTAGGTTAGCCTATGTGACCAATTTCTGCCAACATGGATAGTGGGCAGAGGGATGCAAACCCTTCCAGGCTTGGCCAAAACTTCTTCCAATATCTGCCCCTTTTCTTTGGCCAGCCAGGTGCACAGGATCTAGTGACGGACTCTGTGAGGTGCCCAGGGGCCTGCTTAGCACTAGATAAGAGTCTGGGTCCCTGAGTTACCCCTTGGAGAAGAGACACCCAGGATTGCCACTTAAGTGGGGAACTGTTCGGAGGGAGATGAGAGGGTGTACCAAGTGAACTTGTAACATGCTTTCATTCCATCAAGACCCTGAGGTTGAGGGGCTTGTTTCCACTGCGTGGCTTAGCCTGCCCTGACTAAGATGCCGTCCCTGGCACTGAGGAACACAAAGCACATATCTATGAGCTGAATGAATGATCATTACAACTCCAATTTTTATCCTCTGTATCCAATGTTCAGCCTGTAAATGGCCTTCTCACTACTCATTTATTCAACACTTACCTAGAGGTTACTGCGTGCCAAGCACTGCAACGGTGAGCCAAAAAACCACACTTTCCATGCCCTCATGGAACTTACAGTCTTGTGAGGAATGGACATCAATAATCAAACAAATATAAAATTCCAACTGTTGTGAGTGGTGTGAATGCTGGAAACCTGGCACTATAAGGGGATTTTTTTCCTAGGTAGGAATAAATGAATAAATGTTGAGTGCTTTTCAGGTGTAATTTATGTCTGGGTAAAAATCACTTAAAAATATAGGTTTGGATGTGATGAAGCAAAGTATAACTAAATCTGGATATGACTAAGAGTCACAGAGTTAAATCTTTCCATTGAATAGTTTTAACTAATAAATGGGGTTTGTTCCATATTATAGTTATCTAAACTTTTAAAATGCATAATGTATAAATGATGTATAAAATTTTATACATGATAAAGTATATAATGATGAGTATGAAACTCTTTATCAGTTGTTAGCTCCTCAGAGACTTGCAAACGTCTTTTACTCCTTTTTAAAAATCATAGTTTATTACTTTTCTCTATTAACAGTAAGTTCTTGCCATATTGGTGACAAATTCC